CTCCAGTCAGATAAATTCAGATAAAATAAACAATGAATAAAATGGTGAATCCATCTAAAAGGAACATATATTCACTCTACAAAGGTCTTCAGTCCTCCTAGCCTAAAATCTGGAAGAAGAGCCAGATCTTTAAGGCTCATTGGAATGCTATCATCTGGTTCTCTGGAACAGGGGTCTCCAACCTTGGCAACTTTAAGACTGGTGGACTTCAACTTATTTATTATTGGTTCAATTTATATGCTGCCCTTCTCCGGAGACTCAGGGCGGTTTACAATGCATTAAGCAATAGCCTTCATACTTTTGTATATACCTGCTTAGTAGGGCTTTCGCCCCCCCCCAAGCGGTGTTCTTTTTTATACAAAGTCAGCTATTGCCCCCACAATCCGGGTCCTCATTTTACCTACCTCGGGCTGAGTCAACCTTGAGCCTGGTGAGATTTGAACTTGCAGTAATTGCAGGCAGCTGGTGTTACTTAACAGTACTTTAATCTGCTGCGCCACCAAGGCTCGCAAAGCTGGCTGAGGAAGTCCACCAGTCTTAAAGTTGCCAAGGTTGGAGACCGCTGCTCTGGAAGACCCTTATTTCAGAGGGTACTAAGGTCTGGTTGGATGGCACTGTTTGTTCAAACAAATCTGGAACATGCCAACCTGTCAGATCAAACTGCCAGGGCTGGTATCACAGGAGACAGGTGGCCCCTCAGTAACCAGGCCCTATGCCATGTAGGACTTTATAAGCCATAATCACCACCTTGAGTCACACCAGAAGAACACTGATAATCAGTGCAGCTCACCAAGCATGGATGTCACATGCCTATTGTTGTCCATGCCTCTGTGTTCTGGCTCAGATTCCAGGTGGTCTTCAAGGGCAACCCCATGTAGAGTATACAGTAGTAATCAAGTTGTGAGGTGTTTAGGCCCCTCCTTTGTGGAGTATCATAGACTCAACTGTCTTTCCCCTCCTACATGAAACTGCTGGGTCAGATCATTTGCCAGTATGGACTTCGGTATCAACAGTATGATGATGATACCCAATTATATTTTGACCCCAAGCAGGCCAAGCGAGGCTGTTGTGATCCTTTCCTAATGCCTGGAGGCTCTGCATGTTTTGATGAAGAGCAACCATCTTCAATTCTAGAAGACTGAGTGGCTATGGATATTAAGGCCACGTAGTTCTGGAGGATATTCTACTTATAACCATGGGCAGGGTAACCTTGGAGGATGGAAGAGAATCACTGTAAAAGCCACTGAAGCCAACACAGAAAGATATTGTAGTTGATGGAATGAAAGCTGCCGAGAGATCAAGGAAGGAGCACAGGGATGGGTACATCCACTCTTTCTGGCTCACCACAGATAATCTAGCATGTTCAAGACTGTCTCTGTATTAAATCCACTGTGAAACTAACTGAAATGGGTCCAAAAAATCTGTTCCTCTAGGGTTGTCGCAGACTTTCTACTTTCTCAATAACCTTCCATAAAAATGGAAGTTTGGAGACAGGATGATAGTTATCAAAAACTATGGGCCCAAGGACAGTCTCTTCAGGAGGCGTTGCACCACCACCCCAGTGGTGAAGTCTAAAATTTGTTACTACCGGTTCTGTGGGCATGGCTTGGTGGGGGGGGGGCATGGCCAATTTTTTTTTTTACTTTTAAAACCATTTTTTCTACAACCTCTTTGGGGAAGAGGTTGTAAAAAAATGCTTTCAAAAGGCTCTGACGATCCCAGCTGAGTTGCCTGATCGTCAGAGGCTTTTTTCTTTTAAAACCCTCTGCCGATCAGGCAACTCAGCTTGGATCGTCAGAGGCATTTACAAGAAAAAAAGCCTCTGACGATCAGGCAACACAGCTGGGATCATCAGAGGCTTTTAAAAGCATTTGAAGATCCCAGATGAGCCGCGCGGTTATCAGAGGCTTTTTTTTTTTTTTTACTTTTAAACGCATTTTTTTCGGCCGAAGAGGTTGTAGAAAAAATGCTTTTAAAAATTAAAAAAAAAAGCCTCTGATGATTGTGTGGCTCAGCTGGGCATGGGGGGGGGGCAGGGATTTTTGCTACCGGTTCTCCGAACCACCCGCCTCCATTGCTACCAGATCAGGCGATCCGGTCCGAACCGGGAGCATTTTACCCCTGCACCACCCCCTTCTTCAAAGAGGCTGTCACTACAGGGTGAACCTAAATGCAGGTCATCTCCCAGGGCATTTTCACAATCTTGGAGGGGCCTGGGTTCAGGAGTGGCCCATGTCTCCCTCCTCAGGAGTCATTGGTGCAAATATATATTGAAGAATAATTTTAGAAAAGATAAATCCTAAAATTTCTTCTCTTCAGGACAAAGACCTTACAACCATAACCTTACAGACTGCAAAAATAAATATTGCTAGTTTTTTCTTCAAGCTAAACTAATGGATTTGACAATATTTATTTGATTTATATCTTATCTTTCCTCCATGAACTCAAGGTAATGTACTTCATCCTCCATTTTTCTTCTTAACAAAAAACCTGTGAGGTCTGTTGGGCTGAGAGTTATGACTGACCTAAAGTCACTCAGTGTTTCAATGGCTAGGATAGGCTTGTACCTGGGTCTTCGTTATTTTAATCCAGTAATTTAACCACTACACCATACTGATCTCCAGTATGAAAATACAACACCAACAATCTAGACATGAGGAGTAAAATTCTGTCCATATCCTGGATGCCAATTAAGCAAAGGTGTTTTTGTATTACTTATTACTCTGCTTATTTAAATCTGTCTATCTGTAGATCTTATCTGTAGATCTACCCATCTAATTTCTCTCTACTAAATTATAAATGTCTACATTATTAATATAACTATTCTCCACCTTGGTTAAACAGATGGTATCAATCAGTAGTGGGTTTCACTTACTGTTGCTACCACGTCTGCACATGCACAGATACTTCTGCACATGTGCAGAGCGTCCATGACGTCCAGATGGGTGGGTGGAGCCATCCGCCATCGCTACCAGTTTGCCCGAACCGGGTAGAACCGGTATAAACCCACCACTTTTGTTTTATATTTGTGGGGGAACAAATGCTAGCTGCTTGTCATAATCAGCCTGGGTAACTACGGGTCATAAAGTTCATAGTAAGGCAGGTACCTTTATTGGGGGGGGGGAGTCAGGAATGACTAGCGCATATGGGCGAGGGGAACCTTTACCTAGGTTAAAAAGTCCCCAATAGAAAGTCATCCAAAAGTCCAGAATAGGAGTTATGTTCCTCTTTTATGTATGCCACATGTATGATGAATATAAAAAGAGCCAATATTTTGATGGCACTCTTGTGGCTATTGTGACTTTTTTTTTAGTCCCATCCAAATGTACCCCTGCTGCAAAGGTCAACAAAAGTTGGTTGTTTTGGACTCAATTTTCTTCATACTTTGCTTAAAGCAGGTCTAAAATGGCTTGTTAATATGGCTTAACAAGTAAGGCACAATATACGGTAATTCTATGCTGTTTCCCTTGTGCCACAGTAAATCACGATCAATCTCTATTATAGCTTACTATAGAATGAAGATATATTGTTGGCATGCATATTTAGTATTTAGAAATTATTTTTTGTGTAGACCTCTATAGTAGTCCTCTGTAGGACTACTATAGACCTCTGAATTGTACTTAAAACTGCAAATTAGTGAAGTTATTCAAAACCAGTATAATATCAGGTCTCTAAATATTTTATTTCCTAGTTTGCTTCCAAACTCTTTAAAGCCAACTTACATAGACGGTTAGTGATTTAAATCAGTGTTTCTCAACCTCAGCACTTTATGTGTAGACTTCAATTCCCAGAATTCCCTAGCAAGTATGTTGGCTGGAGGATTCTGGGAGTTGAAGTCCATAATTATCTTAAAAGCTAGCTGTTGAATTCTGGGAAGCGAAGTGCACACATTTTAAAAGGTGCTGAGGTTGAGAAACAAGTGATATATATGTAAGCAAGTCTCTAATATGGACAGGAATCGTGTTGCTTGCAACTATAAAAACAGTGTATGGATTTCTCATGAATGGGGGATATACAGGTGGGATATACAGGGCGGTATACAAATTCAATAAAATAAATAAAAATAAATAAAATACTCCCCACCCCAACTCTCAGAGCCTTGATAGTACAGTGGTTTAATGCACCCTGTTATTAACACAGCTGCCTGCAATTTCTGCTGGTTCGAATCTCTCCAAGGCTCAAGGTTGACTCAGCCTTCCATCCTTTCTAAGGTAGGTGAAATGAGGACCCGGTTTGTGGGGGCAATAAGCTGACTTTGTATAAAATATACAAAAGAATGAAGGCTATTGCTTAACGCATTGTAAGCCGCCCTGAGTCTCCGGAGAAGGGCGGCATATAAATCAAATTAAAAAAAAAACAAACTCTGAAATATTGGCACCTTCTTAAACCAAGACCAGCATTTCCTTATTCCCAGCTGGTGGCTAAATCCAGAGATATCCTGTGAGAACTGAGGAGATAAACGTTGTTCTGTGTGGGAGAGCCTGAGAATTGAGGAGATTAAAAAACTTAAGATCTACATTGAGAAAAGCTTCTCCATGCCCAGATGTTTACTCAACCTCAGAACAGCTGGAATATTTCCAGCCTATCACTCAGTCCTTTTTTTTTTTTTCCCCTCTCCCTCCCTTTCTTCTCTTATGCTGTATTTTTCCACCCGGCCGTCGCTTCTTCCTTCTCGTCCACCTTTCATCCCTTTGTCCCTCTCTCTCTCTCTCTCCCCATTCCCCTCCTCCCAAATTGTCCTCTTCCTTCTACCTCCCTCAACTTCTCCCTACTTCGTCCTCAACTCCTTTTGTTGTTGGGGCTTTGCAAACCTCTCGGAACTTGCTTCGATTCGGCAGCGAAGGGCCAGATCACGTGCGTTAGTGACAGCCTGTCTCGGCGCGGCCCCGAACACCGCGAGGCTCACATTGGTGCGCAGCCGAAGCCGCCGTCCATCCCTCTCTCCCCCCCCCCACCCACCCCCCGCTTTCTCACACGCAGAGAGAGAGAGCGAGAGATACACACAGCATAGGATGGGATGGGAAAGTGGGGGGAGCCGGGGCGGGGCCAGGGACGGCCCCTGCCGATCAGCTGTTCGCTGGATTCTATAACAACAAAAGACTCAGCCGGGAGCCGAGACGGGCCGACGCAACAGGGAGCCTCGAAGGAACTGAGGGGACCGCCGCCCTGCCACCTACCTCAGTAGCCGCCGTCCAGCTTCGTTCTGCCCCGACGTTCCCAGGACGGTGAGTGATGCCGCCGCGGCAGCCCTTTTTGCACCGGGGTGAGTGGGGTGGCCAAAGAGACTTTCCCCGATGTGCCTGGCGCGAAGGGCGCGCGATCCGCCCGGGCATGTTCCTCCTGGACGGATTGGTCGCGCCCGGAGGCTTATTTAAAGATCCGAACCGGGAGCGAGGCGATGGGGGATTCTCATCGCCGCCGCTGCCGCCTTTAGGTGGGGCGGGCTGGTCGACTTCCATCCTTCCGTGGACAAGGAAGGAGTCGGTCTCTCCACCGCCACCAGCACTCCCTCCCCCCCCCACCCCACGCCTTCTGCAAAGCTGTAAACAAGCGGACCGGTGGCGAGGCGAAGAAGTAGCGCCGCAATAAAAGTAGTTCCTCTTCTATTTCCCTCAACCCCTCTCCGCTTTTCTCCTTTCAAAAGCCGCGTCCTGAGAGAAACCCACTTGGCGGCTTCGCCCCGGGCTCGGTGAGCTTAGCTAGCGCGGCTCTCAGCGCAACCACTTGTGGCGTAGGTCTCTTGGAGCTCGCCGACTCAGCTCGCGTTTCCTCGGGAGGGAAGACGCCAGGCAGGGAGGCAGGCAGGCAGGCAGGCAGGTCGGTCGGTCTGTCTGTCGGTCAGTGCACACCCGGAGAGACGCGATTCAGACGGCTGTTCAAACGCAGTCCGCTATTCGACCGCCTTCCTCCCGATCCCCCCGGTGATTTCCGTGGGGCTCCCCGAGACCCTTTTAAGGATGACCATTTAGATTCGGGGGGGGGGAGAGGGAAGTCCCTACCTGATCTCGCTAAAGTTTTTAAACTTTTGCTCTTAACTGTACGTGGTCTCGAGTGGCATTTTAAATGGGGGCGGGGAGGGGGCTACAACTCGGAATTAGACGAGTTGAGATGCTAGATGTGAGGGGGGGACTTGCCGTTGAGCAAAAGCGCGCAGGTTCGCTTGGGAGAGCGATTCCAACGTGCTTTATTCTGCATTTAGTATATGCCCAGCGTTAAATCCTGCTTTTCTCCCCCCCCCAAAGAAAAATGGATCGGCGATTTGCTTATCCAGGTTCCACTTTCGGAGTTGGAATTTTTGCTTGTGGGCTGCAAAAAAATTGGTTGGCTGCGGCTATAAAACTTTGAAATAATAACCGAAGGGAGGAAATTTTTTTTTTTAAAAAAAACGTGGTTTCAATCCAAACTGAATTAGGGGCGCCTGCGCCAAGGCTGGCAGGCTGGGAAAGGATTTCCTTTTCTTTCTTTCTCTCTCTCCCATTCAGCGAGGGCTCCGGGACGAATACCCAGAAAAGCCCCAGGCTTTAGAGATGCCTCTTTTAAGCAACCCGCCTGTTGCGATCCTCGGAGTAAGTTAGCAGCTGAAGTTCCTCCCGAAGCCGGGCAAAACGCGGCGGGATTCTGATTCGCGCCGGCGGGCCTCGATCCTCTCATTTTATAGCTTAACGTTCTTCACTTTCTCTGCCTAGTTTGCAACCTGCCGCGGGAGTTGCTTTCGTGTTTCGCCGCCTCCTGGCGAGATGGAAGAGGAGGAGCGGGAAGTGCTTGGTCCCGCCCAAGGGGGGCTGGAGAAGCGTCGGCTTGCCCTCTTCCTTTGCATATCCTGTTTTGTTTAAACAGAAGCGAGAAGTGGCCTTTTCGTTCTTCCTTAACTACTTCGGGGCACTTTCTTGGCGCTCAGGTGTGACTAACCCTCCCCGGAGCAGTCAGGCGGCGCCGCTGCCAGGGAGGAGTTAGCTGGCAAACCAAACAAATTGAACAAAACAAATCGGATGCCCTGAGTCCCTTCCCTTTCTTTTCCCCTCCGTTTGTTCTCCTTCTCTCTCTCTCTTTTTCTTTCTCTCTCTCTCTCTCTCTCTCACACACACACACACAAGTCCTCGACTTACGGCAGTTCATTTAGTGACGTTCAAAGTTACAACCACACTGAAAAAAGTGATTTATGACCGTTTTTTCACATTATAGGGACCATTCAGGTACCCCCCCCCCCATAGTTACGTGATCAAAATTAGGATGCTTGGCAACTGACTCATATTTATGACGGTTGCAATGTCCCAGAATCACACGATCCCCTTTAGCGAACTTCTGACAAGCAAAGTCAATGGAGAAGTCACTTTCACTGTACAACTGTGTGATTAATTTAGCAGCTGCAGTAATTCACTTAGCGACTGGCACGAAAGGCCGTAAAATGGGGCAATATTCAACAAATATTTCGCTTAGCAAGAAGAATGCTGGGCGCAACTGTGGTCATAAGTTGAGGACTACCTTTGTGTGCCTGTGTGTGTATCTGAGCAGGGCAGTAGTGGGTTTCAGTTCACTACCATTTTGGAACTGCGAGTACATGCACATGCACAGAGTGTCCGTGATAACGTCCGGGTGAGTGGGTGAAGCCTTCCCCCCCACCCCCCGCCGCTGCTACCAGTTTGCCCAAACTGGGGTGAACCGGTAGAAACCCACCACTGGAGCAGGGGCAGTTCCGGTGGTGGGGGGGGAGTCATATACTGTAAGAAATAAATTCCTAAAATGCATGCACAGACGGGTTGTCATTCCCATGTATTCGGTATTACAAATCCCATTTTGTGGAGTCCTTGGTGCTCTCTGAACTTGGTTGTTTTCTTGAGGACATTTCATTACCCATCTAACATCATCAGTGCTCTGAGGAAGTTAGCTAATTGAGTAATGCAGCATCTGCAAGAAAACAACCCAGCTCAGAAAACACCAAGGACTCCACAGTTCAACACTTACAACTGTTCCCTTATTGAAACACCACTTTCCCTGGCTGCAAGCTGAATTTGAAAACTATTCAGAGCCTTTTTAAATTTATGAGCACCTAAAGGCTAACTATTGCGAGAGACAAAATGCTGAACTAGGCTGGGTTGAGGTCTGATCCAGAGGGTTGTTTTTGAGAGACTTATGGGTAGATAGACATTGGAAACTTCTCCAGTTTTTTATAGATGAGTACATTTCCTGCTCTCTTTATTTTGTTTCTGTCTGGAATAAGGGTGGGTGGGGGAAATCCCTATTTGTTGGAATGACCTTTGAAATTGTGTTTTAACCAATAACATTTGCTGTCTTGAATGAAAAGCATAAAATTATTTCAAAAGACTAAGCATACTTTAGATGGGCCTCCTCCAATGGAAGAAGTTCCATTGTTTCTTTAGAAAAGAGTCTTAGTGCAGCACTTCCTGGAGTTGGGAGAGACAAACAAACAAACACACACACACACACACACACACACACACACACACACACACACACGGAGGGAGGGAGGGAGGGAGGGAGGGAGGGAGGGAGGGAGGAAGAGAAAGAGAGAAAGTTTAGTGTGTCCTGGATTGTCCTAAAACAAATGTATTCCTATGAAACAGTACAACAGATCATTTTGATTCTTTGGAGAGAAGAGAATCATTTTTTCCACCCACCTCCACCCCTTTATGTTTCAAAAGTATTTTTGTACAGACGCCTCCAATATTGGGCAACTGTTCTGTTTGTTTATTTTCACTGTGGGCATGGCTAAATCCAATTTATGTAATCTGATGCAATCTCAGACTTCGAACATGAACTTCTCAGATTTTAATCAGTGGTGATGCTTGGATGGAGGAAAAAAAAACTCCTTTAGAGCATTACATTTGTATTCAGGACAAGAGAAGGTTGGATTGGATTGGTTTTAGCTATATAAGGAGATTTATATTTTTTTCCTATGTAAATAACTATTTTAAATAATCTTGAACTGTAAACCATGTCTATGTGGTATGCTTGATTTGCTCTTTGGATAAATTCTAAATCCAATAATCTAAATCTACTGCAACTCTGCCTTACCCTGCTGCAGATATGCAAGGCAAGAAAACTGAAGGAACAGGGTCAATGGTTTCTGGATGAGAACACTAGAATTTACCGTAAATCTTTTTCAATGCTGAGCCCCCTGCTGGAAGCAGCTATATGGTCAAAGAGCAAAAGTGTGTTCTGAAAAACAAAGGGAGCTTTAAATATCCCTGCAGTATATTTAAAGAAATGATCAAAGAGAAAAAAACATGAAGTTTGAGGATTTGGAATAGATTCCAAAACACACACAAAATTGTTTTGTAAGGTCAGAAGAAATGGAGATCAGGAATATCTTTACACATTGTATTAAACCATAATTACCTTAATGTTGGCTTGTTTAATAAATCCTAGTTGGCTGTCCACACAGCCTTTAAAGCTATCAATGGAAGATTGTTGATTATTTTCTCTTTTTATTTTTGGGTTTGTTTTTTTTAGAGAGCATGCTTGAAGGGAAAATAAAGTAATAAACCACATTGCTAAAAGTTAATGATTTTTGGTGCTGAAGTTTAATGATAGAGTCACAGCATTCATTAAAAACTATAAAATTGAATGCAATCCATGGAATATCCTCTGACTAAGCCAATACCAAACAGTTCTCATTATGCTTAGCATAGTTATTACCAACCTGGGTGTTTTAAAATCTAGATGAATGGACTTCCAAGATCCAGATTCCTCAGCCAGGGTAGCTACTGCTGAGAATTCTGGGAAATGACCATATTTGGAGGCAGCCAGATGGGGGAATACAATATGCAAGGCGGCCAACATGGGAAAGGAAATATCTGACAACATTAATACATTGCTGATGGCAAAAGGAGAGGTCTCCTTTTCTACAGTGCCCTGTGGAAGTCTCATAGCACCACAGGTGGCAGACTTCTCTGGTTTTTAATTTTATGAAAACTCTAAAAAGCACCAAACTGATCCAGGGAACTTTCTTGAGTCCGTGGCAGCTTCCAAACTGGTATCCTGGTTTTAACTCTCAGAATTCTTCAACAGGCTTGCCTGGTTATACCATGCCATGGTAAACACAACATATACAACACTATCATGAACAATGGTGTATTTAAAACTAGGGTGAGATTTGCCATTTTCAGGTAGGTCAAGGATGTGTGTGTGTGTGTGTGTGTGTGTATTGGTTGTACAAACACATTGTAACCTTGAGGTAAGCATGTATCAGTCAGGTATGCTCAAGTAGGTTTAATTGAATGCAGATGCATGATGTGTTTTGTGCTTGCATAGAGCATTAAAATTATGTTTTTTTTATTGTCTCCTCTGCAGGTTTTTGTAGCAACTGTTTACAAATCATGCCTCTCTGCATCCAGTGCCTCAGCTGATAAAGTTTTTATGCACTTTAATCTTCTACCTGCACCCTTAAACTTTGGTACGCTGTGGAGCGGTACCTCATCTTGTGGGCGCAAACAAGTGATAGCCAGAGTCTTGTTTCATCTTAGTAATGTTCCAGAGGCTGAATAATATGTTTGTGGGAGAACTCAGTAATTTGCCCAGCGAAGAACCAGAGTTCAGTGAGAAAGAAGAAGAAGAAGAGTGGATTCTGGTAGACTTTATCGGTAAGATTTCTTTTAAACAGAATTGTCTAAATGGGAGATTTTAAACCAAAAAGTTCTTTATATGCAGGCAATATATTGGGCAAAACATGGTGTGAGGAAGAAAATAATATAACTGCAAGCTGTTTAGCCCACCTTTTCAGATTATTAACATAATTTCATTGTGCTTCAACAATTGATTATAACAGAGACTGGCCATTCCTCATTCTTTCTTGTCCCTGTTCCAGTTTGCTCAGTTATTGTTGAACAAAAGGATAAATTCTCAAGGGCTACTTTCTCCAACTTGGTAGCAGATTGATAGGCAGCAAGGCCAAAGCAATCCTAGAGGTCATGTTGGCTGAAGTTGATAAGGATAAAGGGACAGCTTGGAGTTGGGTATTGCATGCTTTTGGTTCAAATGTTTACATTGGTGTGAAAATCCTTCTTATCCATAGTAGGAGATACTATGTGCCTTCCTCAGCTACAGGAAATGGAATTTTCAGTCCTATAAGTATTGAAACTAAGTATGATTCCTGCTTTTCTGTATCTACATACATACATATAAAATGTAAGATATAGGTATTAATTAATTGCCATTTTAGTCTTTGGGTATTATTTTTAATTTGATGGAATGTACGGTGTTTCCCCGAAAATAAGACTCTGTCTTATATTTTTTTGAACCCTGAAATAGGTGCTTGGCCTTATTACCATGCATTCAAAAGCCCGATTGGGCTTGTTATCAGGGGATGTATTATTTTGGGGGAAACAGAGTATTATATACAGTACTTAACATGAACTGCTTGATTATTTTTGATGTTCAAAAGCTATATATAAATTCTGTAAACAATTTATATGTCGTTCCTATAAATTAATCTTCCATAACTAGGCCCTCTATATGAGTTGAGATTTATTTATTTATTTATTTATTTGTCATATTTCTATGCTGCCCACTCTCCAAGGACTCTGAGTGGCTTACACCAAAGACAATATACTAAATAGCATATTGCCCCCTAACAATCTGGGTCCTCATTTTACCCATCTCGGAAGGATGGAAGGCTGAGTCAACCTTGAACCGGTGAGATTTGATCCGCTGATCTGCTGAACTAGCAGTCAGCTGAAGTAGCTGCAGTACTGCACTATAACCACTGCACCACCTTGGCTCTTTGTTGTCAATAATAGTTGTCAACCAATAGTTGTCAACCAAGTTGTCAACAAAATATATGTTGTCAATTTATCTAGGGGTCCCTGGCTACTAGAAAGCTAACTCTAGAACAGGGGTGTCAAACTCAATTTCATTGAGGGCCACATCAGGGTTGTGTTTGACCTTGGGGGGCCTGGGGGGGGCAGCTCGACATCACTCATGTGGGGGCACCTGTGGTGGTCTGAGTGCAATGCCAGTGAAAACTGGTTCCCAATCTCCATTTTCGGCTGCAACGGCTTCCTGCAACCCTCTGCCAGCAGAAACGGAGCTTGGGAGGGTTGTCTGCAGCCCTTGCAAGCTCCATTTTTGGCTATGACAGCCTCATGCAACCCTCTGCTAGCAAAAATGGAGCTGTTTTCACTGGCAGAAGCACTGCTGGCCGGTTCTTTGCTGTTTCCAGGGTGGCCCTGTGGGCCAGATCTAAGCATCTCACGGGCCTTAAATTTGACACCCCTGCTCTAGAATATCCAATCTCCAGCTACTTTGATCAGCTCTTTTATTTCTCTGTTGTAATTCCTGATAGATTCCTGTTCAAACTTCTCTACGGTTGATGAAGACGAGGAGGAGGAAGAGGATGACATCTGCAAACCATCTCCTGATGACCACTCGCCCATCTTTTCTTGTCTGCCTGATTCCTTGGACTGCTTGGCAGATGCCAGTGAATCCTGCTTCATCCAGTTAGACTCGTGCCCCATGGAAGAAAGCTGGTTCATCACTCCCCCTCCATGTTTTACAGCAGGTGGTTTAACCACTCTCAAAGTAGAAACCAGCCCACTGGAAAATCTGCTCATTGAACATCCCAGCATGTCTGTATATGCAATCCATAATACCTGTCACAACCTCAACAAGAACAATCGTGATGAAAAAGAAGAACAGGAGGAGGAACAGGAGGAGGAGGAAGTGGAGTCCCACGATGAAAGCAATCATAGGTATGTTCTCTACTCTTTGATTCAGGCAAAATGTAGAGGTGCTAGTAACCAAGTGAAAAAATTGGGAAAATTATATTAAGACAGCATTGAAAATTATTATGAATGGTGTGAATGACGCTATGGGCAGAATGCTTTTCTCCTTGCTCCCTTCACTCTGCCCCTTCATCACTGTCCTTCATTTGTCCTCTTCTTTGAGCTTCTTTGTATGGTATCAATGCCTTTGTCATTGCTTGCTTGTAAACAGATAACAGGAGCGAGCGAGAAGAGCATTGAGACAAATAGACGAGAAAATACCAGGAACTGGAGGCAAGTCCCCTATTAAGGTTTAAGGTGTGGCCCTTGGCAATATCTTTTTGTCATCAAAACTGCTTGCGTTGCAAAATGGTTTTACATGCATTAAGTGAAATTCATATTTCTCAGTAGAGTGGACTTCAGACAGCTACACAAGTTAACATTTGGAGGAGGAAGAAGAAGGAAAGTGAAGGGGCATTGGTTGGATAAAAGATACAGACACATGTGAATCAAGAACTCCTCAATATCCTCTGTACAGAGAGGAAGGCATTGGCTGTTACTTGAAGCCCTGTTAATCACCTCAATCTTCCACTCCCTTTCTCCAGCCTGTTCCTATAGAAAATTGCCAGTTGACCATGTGGCCAAAGGCTTTCCCCAACTTCCTTTAGGGAAAGAAGTACAGTATCTTTGTATCCCTTTGGGGAAAGTGCTGTTCACTGCATTTCAGTGATACTAGTTGGTTGGACTTCCATAGACTTTGGCCCTTGGTTAAATTAAAGAGGACTTACGGTATTAACTGCACATGCTTGTGCTGTGAGCCATCAAGTAACTACAGATAGTTCTTGAATTACAACCGCTCACTTAGCAACCATTCTAAGTTATGATGGACCTTCCTGGAGCTACTTACAACTGGGATCAAAGTTTTGATGGCCAATCCCCCCTTCCCCTGGGTCCGGTCACATTACTGCATTTTGGGCGCTCAGCAACCAGCTTACATTTATGGCTGTTTGCAATGTTCTGCAGTCATGCGACTATGTTTTATGATGTTTTTGTCAAATATTGCACTTACTGAGCCGCGGTGGCGCAGTGGTTAGAGTGCAGTACTGCAGGCTACTTCTGCTGATCACCAGCTGCCAGCAGTTTGGCAGATCGAATCTCACCAGGCTCAAGGTTGACTCAGCCTTCCATCCTTACGAGATGGGTAAAATGAGGACCCAGATTGTTGGGAGCAATATGCTGACACTCTGTAAACCGCTTAGAGAGGGCTGTAAAGCACTATGAAGCGGTATATAAGTCTAAGTGCTACTTTTGGTTTTCAGCAAAACCAGGCCATAGCAAACCATTGGTTTGCTTAACTGTTGAAAAAAAGTCATAAAATCAGGCTGGTCTTGTGGGCGATCCAATTTATGGCTGTCACGACCATGATGGCTCAGTTATGGTCAGAACTCAAGAACTACCTGTGCATTGATTGGGCTCACATATTCGCAAATTGGAATGTGATTGACTAGTTTACTATTTGTGTCGTGTATTATTGTGGCTTCCTATGAAAACTCTCTGCCATGTGCCTGAGTCCTTGCTCTACAGCCAATGCTATCAGTTCCATCCTTGTGCTTGGCATTTTAGATCTGAAGCCCAAAGCAAAATGGGCCAACACGTCCAATGCTACATTGCTGCACTTGCTGCTCACTCAACTTTTCTTGAACAAAGTACCAAGAGTTTTCGTCCTTCCCAGAGGATAAAAGAGTTCAGCGAAAGACAATCCCTGAACAGAAACTGTCTCCGTCGCCAAAATCTCACCAGGGATCCCTACACAAGGCAACTCAAGAACAGTGGATTTTTTGTTCACCAGCCTTGCCAGCGTCAGTATAATTACTGATAGTGTTTTGCATTTTCTCCCCAGAAATAATATTTGTTAACTATTGTGAGACAATGAAGGTGAGAACTGTCTTAGGATGCTCGTGAGTTGTTTTTACACAATCACTTGAGTGTTACAATTCAGTTGAAAACCACTTTGATTTCAGTGTCACAAAATGCCTTTTCAATGTTTTGTTTGTAGCAGGTAAACATATACAGTATGTGTAGTAATGTTTGTGTGATTGTGCCTCTCTGCCTCCTTGTGTCAGACTTTACAAATTTTATTAGGTATGGATGTTTTTGTTTGTTTTTTATATTAGTATTTACAGCCAAGTTATAAGGCCTCTTTCAGCCATCTTGTAGTTACAGAATTTCTCAGGGTCACCCATACACTTGCAATGATCTATGTATACTAAAGATTGTCTTTTAAAATATTAACATAACCATCAAAATACAGGTGGCCTGAGTGGCATTATATTCCTAATAAGGAATTTATTTTCTATGTAGCAGTAGAAGGTGAAGAGGGAAAAATGTGTAACCTAATATCTTTCTACATAGCTTTCAAAATCTCTGGTTTAGTATGGTTTACCAGTTTCCTGTGCAACGGAGGTATTTTGTAAGGGACGCAGTGGCTTAGTGGCTAAGATGCTGAGCTTGTCAATTGAATGGTCGGCAGTTCAGCGGTTCGAATCCCTAATGCTGCGTAACGGGGTGAGCTCCTGTTACTTGTCCCAGCTTCTGCCAACCTAGCAGTTCGAAAGCACGTAAAAAATGCAAGTAGAAAAATAGGGACCACCTTTGGTGGGAAGGTAACAGCGTTCCGTGCACCTTTGGCATTTAGTCATGCCGGCCACATGACCATGGAGACGTCTTCGGACAGCGCTGGATCTTGGCTTTGAAATGGAGATGAGCACTGCCCCCCTAGAGTCGGGAACGACTAGCACATATGTGTGAGGGGAACCTTTACCTTTTAATAGATCTACAAATGAAGACCAGCGCGAACCAGGTTTTGAATATGTGTTCCAGTTATCCTATGCTTGTATAATTAGATGATGGGAATTGTGGTCCAATATACTGTACATAGTATCCAGTTTGGGAAAGACTACTTTGAAGAACAGGAGTAAACTTTTCATAAAAAGCAGTGATAAGCCATGTGGGGGAAAATCCAAAATCTATTACTTGATAATAGTTAAAGACCATTGAAATTTAACCCAATGTTTTCTAGAACTCTCAATCAGGCAAGAAGCAAAAAAAAAAAAAAAAGGAAAAGGGAGGAAGTAAGAAAGTTCTAAAATTAGGCCAGATGTCTCACGTTTCAGACTTGCAGTTTGAAGTCCGTCCCAAGATGGCTATATATTGAGTATAGATTCACTATTGAGTTTTATTGGTTTCAGGTTACACCTGATCTCCATAGACAAAGGAAATGGTATGAAAATACAAAGATTATCCCTGTGGCAAAGAGCAGATAAAATGAAACATTCCTTCTTATTGTCAACAAAGCTAGAGAGTAATTTTTCTTGGTGGGTTGGTCTAAAGTCAATTACACAAAACAATGTAATATTACTTAGTGACTATTTTACAACAGAACATTTAATTAAAGGTTCTGGAAACTTGTTGAGGTTAATAGCGCTGAAATGCATAACTCTCTGCCCTGGTTTGTTTGAATGATTGCCTGCTGTGGGTGTTGCATTTTTCAAAAGCTGTACCTCCAATTTTGAACTGATTTATAAGCATGATCTGCCACATTTCAGTCCAGTAGATTCAATCTACACCAGATTGATGAAAGTTATATTTGTTTTTTTAAGGAACTGTAATTCATAGCTGCCTTCTCTAAACACACTACTATAGTCTATAAAAGATATGGATAATTGCTGACATAGAAATCTGAAATTCCTCTGGCTGTTTCCTAGGCAACCCAAATTTGTCACTGTAATTGTGTGTTCCTCACTTAAGCTTAACTAACTTTTCCTTGATATTCTAAAAAGATTCATGCTTTTATACAGACACTAATTGTTAAATATCCCAAAAGAAGAGTCCAAAGAATTTACAAGCAATTTAAAACCACAGATGGCAAAATTCAGTAGCTTTTTGTTTGTTTTCTGGCTGTCCCCACATTTTTTTTGGATATATATTTGAATTTGCCATTTGGCTTCCAGGATTCAGGAGATGTTCCTCTATTAAATTTCTGTGATTCGAATCTTGAATACTGTTGTTCAAGTTTCTAAAAACTGCTAAAGCATTCCTTGTTTTAGTAGTCACTCAGGACCTTTAATCTGTCAGATTCACAGCACCATCACTGTATTCCCCCTGCCCCCCTAAAACTCAGGAACCCCTTTCAAGTTTGGCTTGGATTTTAAATTGATTAAGTGAAATAACGTACTGTACCAGCAAATGACTCTTAGCCAACTTCATCTTTTTTCCCCACACAAACTATTGGATTCTCATTGTCTACTTTTAGGAATTTTAAAATAAAGGCCACATTTATTTCTGTATTCCTGATTTAGCGAGGATTTGAAGTTAGGACTTCTAATTGAGAGGTACAGTTGCTGTCTTTACTGGATAATTTGCTAGTGATGGGGAAAAAGAAATATGTGCTTGTCAGTTTTTAACATTGGAAATAATGCTATGGTGAAAGGAATTTTTACACACAACTTTAAGCCTGACTCTTTTCCTTGTATATTTATATAGCTTGTTTTATTACGTGCCTGGAACTATTAGAGTATTAGAATTTGTTGCTTTTCAAACAATGTGTGTTTTGTGGCTAGAATATGACTTTTTATATATCTGTATATTTTTTTCCACAAACAACAAATGTAATAACTTGTAAAAATGAAGGCCTTGTGTTATGTTGAATGGTATTTCAATAACTTTGCTGGAACTGTTTTTTATACATATTATAAACAAAACTGTGCCTTTTTCAATGACTTGTACACACCAAACTTGAATTTGAAGATACAAAAAAACCCCATTCTGTTTGGATAAATACTGTATATCAGCCTATGCATTCTCAATGGCAGCTTGTTTGTGGAGCCATTTTCCTTGTGCCTGTGGCAGAACTGTTGGTAAGCAAGGTTTGGCCATCCTGTTGATACCATATACAGGTTACAGTACTTAACATCTCAAAATGACCAGAGCTTAAATGGTTTCTATACCAAGTTCTTGTTCTGGAATGAAAAGGAAATATGCAATACAGTATGTTATGAAAATTGCAATATGTTATGAAATCCTGTTGTCTAATGTCAGTTGGCTTTGATATAGTACCATTTCCTTCATTGATTTGCCTACAGCAGGGAGCAATGGGACATCTTCAGAAGCAACAAGTTAGATTTCAGATTCATAGCTGTCTTTGGCCCTTGATCATGTTGGCTGGAGCTGAGGACTGTTGAAGTCTGAGTTGACCCATAAGGAGGCCATAACGTTGCTTATCTTTCTGCTCAATCATAATCTGCAGTTCTGATCTTCACCAATGACATGTTGCTTGATAAAAACCATTTGACTGCTGTGGGTGAGCAAGGAAGCATATTTTTCTCATACAATTCTGACGCTTAAAACTTTTTTGATTTTCCATTCATTTAAAACTTAACCATTTTTCTTCTCATTATTCATTTACCAACCATACTGTATTGCCTTTATACTGGTATTGGTGAAAGAGCGCAAAATGCTGTAAAATAGGCCCTTCTAAAAAAAGGACATCAGACCTGTCACTCTTCAGATGGATTAAAAGGGGTGGTGGTGGCTGGGTTAACAAGCCATTAAAAAGTTGTTCAAACTCAACCAGTTGCTCAAGTTTGATAGATTTCTAGCCTGTTTAGTTTTCAGTTTCACTGGATAGTTTATTTCTTCCCATACTTGTATCTCCACTTGAGCAATTAACCGTGGTCCAGAATAGGAATCTAACTAAAAATGAATGACAAATGAAAATTAATTGGGTTTAATTTGATTATTTTTCCATTCATTTTGAAAATGCATGGGACTCATTTCTCATTTTTACAATGATCTATTCCTATGAAGAAGAAATGTTTTTGCCAAGTGATTCCATATTTCAATGTGTATGCGCTAAAAGATAACATTCCTATATTTAGAAAACTAGAGTGGTTAGTAGAAATTTTCCACGCTGTCCCAATTTATTAGGCTCAGGACACATAGTACGGTATATAGACTTACCCAAAAGCAGCTACTTTATGATTATGTCTACACACAGTACTGTGCTGGCCAGGAGTAAGCAGTCTCTGGCCATATGTCTACCATGCCTCATTTGGGGTCTGTTTTATGCCTAGCTGCTGAATTTTGGTGGCTAGGTTTTTTGCTAAACAATACAATGGCATTGAAGCATTTATCTCACAGTGGCTGTACACTTGCTTAAACGCATCCAAACCACTTAATCCACCAACAAATGGTCCAGGAACTTTTGGCCATGTCCTATCATGTGATGTTACATTAACGGAACCTCCCCTGTATTTGCTGGCCTGTCAGGAAGATGTCTTGGATTGCTGCCTAAAGAAAAGTTGGATACCAGTGTGTTTGTCAATACTACAGTTTGGTTTGGCATATCCGATAAACTAAATCCATTGGGCAGTTTAACATGTACGAATCACTCAGTCTTACCTGGAGAAATTGGTATCTTTTGAGCTGTCTTTATAGGCTGTTTTTTTATTGATATATTAACGGTAATATATTGGCCTGACTGAATTTGGACACATTATCAATGTGAATTGTTGCTTTCTATTACACTCAAAGAATAGCTAGACCAGGAATTTTGTAATGAAAGCCTTGTTTCAGATCAGTTACTCTCCCATCTATTCCTTGTGTGTGTTATATTTTGGGCAACAGCATCATTTGGTCACAATGATGGTCACAATGCTGGTCTACATTGTGGCCTAAAGGAATCCAAACCATGGATTCCATGGTTCTAGGGCAATTTCTTCTGTGAATTCATCACATTACCACTCTTTCAGTTGTGATAGAGGCACAGATATTTTCACATTCGCACTGCGTTGTAGGCTAGCAATCTAACAGGTCAAATAAAAGGGTTTTAAGGGTCTCCAGGAAAAAAAAGGGAAATGAATCATAGTAATCCATCTATATACCTTAAGTATTTTGTTTCATAATGTGCTCTGGAGAAACAGTCAATAAAAAGGCCAATTGATAAAAGAGTTTCCAGAATCCAATGTTTGCTCTATATTAATCAGTTCTTTGTGTGTGTGTGTAAGAGAGAGAGAGAGATTTACTGGAATGCTGTGAGGATAATATCTGAGAGTGGAGCAGGCATAGGTTACTCATCACATTTTAGACATTTTGATCTCTAGATTTAGCCCAATTTGCAAAACACTAAAGCTTGCTACCTTTTTGTTGATTTCAATAGTTGCATCAGAATGGAAAAATCCTCCTTTAGTGGTTCTGCTGAGAAGTGTGAGGTACCAAATGATCTCCCAGGATAACTACCAACTGTGGTCTCTGATTAAATACCTTTTATGTCTAAGGAGAATCCCAATACAAATTGCAATAGATAAGGAAAATGTAATTGTAGAACAGTTCTTTGAAAGATTCATCTCTACAATTCTTTGTAGGGCTAGAAAAGTCTGAACCCCAAGACAGACAGCAATGATAGCAAATACCACTGAACTACAATAGGTGGACCAGTGGTCTGACTTCAGCTATTTGAGATTTTTTAGTCTTTTTGTTTCCCATCTCTTCTGAATCTGGTTTCAAATCCATCAAATTTATAAATATTTTATAAAAATTATTTTGTATCTACTTGAACACAGAGAAACTTTAGATACAGGCACGTTTACCCATTCGTGGGTCGAACAAGCTTGTAGAGAACTGCCAGCTAATCAAAATTTGCCCTAAATGGTTTAATCTTTTCTCTTGCTTCTAGGCTCACCATCAAGGCAAATTTCCAATGTCTTTAAAATTGCAGTGTATTGGCAATTCTGCACTTGGGCTGCTTTTTGTAAGCAAGCCATCATATTGCTATAATGGGGCCTTGGGAGATGAGATGCAGGACAGGTCACTTTCAAAAATAAGGCAGATATGTTGATGTTTCTGAAACGGCTGCCTAGAGAATGGCAATTCCTTGTTAACTTATACAGGGCTATTGCCAAAGGGATATTTTGAGATAATTTACAAGTGCAGACCCTTGGTTACACATTATTTGATCACCGAGGCTCATGTAGCATAGAACTACAGCTTTTTCTGGAATACTTTTCAGATAAGGCTTCTTGTTAAATATAAAATGCAATGCAACTGTTGAGAAAGACTCAGTTGATGGAATCAAGAGACAAGTACTAGAATGGCACTAACTTAACTGATTAAAGAACTTACTTAAAATGCTCCCAGATTTTTTTAAAATTAGGGACACGCCTGCTCCAAAGGTACCTGCATAGAAATCTGGTGTATGCTCTCACTAATAGCATTAATGCAACATATATCTACATAGATAAATTGACATTTTAGCTATGAAAAACAGAAACATATTACTGCCATCCTATTTTCCCCCCACCAAAATATTTGAAATTGAGTTTAAGATACATTTTCCTTTGACTCCTGATGATTTCAAAGACATGTTCTTGTAATTGCAAGATTGGAGAACCTTTTTTATACCACTTCTAGTGGAAGGAGATATCTGCCAGTTTCAAGCCCTGCCTTTGCCTTGAGAATGTATCTGTTGGTCAGCTCCCTCAAAGACTTCTTCAGTCTCAGATCTTCACCACATCCATTTTACCACCTTTCCCTTTGGCACTTTATTTTTCTTTCCTCACATTTTCTTTAGCTCACAGAAGCTCAGTGGACCTTCCACCATTGCCACCAAGCAGATGTACATCATACAATCAGATGAATTCTTCAGCATCTGGGTCAAGTCAAGAGACTGGCCTTCAGTAGTATACCATTAGACCTCATTTCTCTGCTACAAGTGCTAGCCGATTCCGATGTTGAATTGTAGGTAACAAGTTGCATGACCCAGGCAGCCCCTGGAAGGCCCTTACTGCTAAATGGCCTGGGCACTGGAAGTATGAGTGCTAGCAACATAAGTCAACCAATGCTACACTGTTTTTTGCCAAGGAGACAACAGCCTCCGACTGTTTCAACTGGTTCTGCAATGCAATTTCCACTTTGAAGTTCTTTTGTCATCCTAGTGTTAATCAATTAGACTTTAAATGTGACAGTGCTTTTTGTCTAGCTGTTGCAGGCTTTGATCACTTTTACTTTTGGGATTTTGCTTCCATGTATGACTGGAAGGCATATTTATGCAATGGAGTAGATTGCAAGAAAAATATGCATGAAAGTCCTACTCTGATGTTTTTAAAAAGCATGTAAGTGTAATTGTTAGTTTGACAGATCAGTCATATGCTTATATTGTACTGGAACTGAAGATGTGCTGCCATCATGTTAGACAGCTGACTATCTAAAAAAAAATATTGAACAAGGGTGGGAGTAAACTGCCAGCAATTAGAAAGTACAAAAATAACAAGAAAATGAAAGACACAGATGATATCCATCTGCAAAATAGAACTGCACAGAAGAGAGAATTTACCATTTACCAAGAGTTAATTTGGCATCTCTCTCAAACAAATATCTTTGGATTGAAACTGAATATATATCTGATGAAAGGATTTATTGGACCACTGTTAAAATGATTTTACACCCTCTATATCAGCTAACATAAGCAATAAACATTTCATCTTTATGCTAATAAAGGACTATACAGGTGAAACTCAAAAAATTAGAATACCGTGCAAAAGTTCATTTATTTCAGTAATGCAACTTAAAAGGTGAAACTACTATGTGAGATAGACTCATTACATGCAAAGCGAGATAGTTCAAGCCTTGATTTGTCATACTTTTGATGATTATGGCTTACAGCTCATGAAAACCCCAAATTCACAATCTCAGAAAATTAGAATATTGTGAAAAGGTTCAATATTCTAGGCTCAAAGTGTCCCACTCTAATCAGCTAATTAAGTCATAATACCTGCAAAGGGTTCCTGAGCCTTTAAATGGTCTCTCAGTCTGGTTCAGTAGGAGTCACAATCATGGGAAAGACTGCTGACCTGACAGTTGTGCAGAAAACCATCATTGACACCCTCCACCTTTCCTGGAGGGAAAACCTCAAAAGGTAATTGGAAAATAAATTAGATGTTCCCAAAGTGCTGTATCAAAGTACATTAATAGAAAGTTATGTGGAAGGGAAAAGTGTGGAAGAAAAAGGTGCACAAGCAGCAGGGATGACAGCAGTCTGGAGAGGATTGTCAGGAAAAGGCCATTCAAAAGTGTTGGGGACTTTCACAAGGAGTGGACTGAGGCTGGAGTCAGTGCATCAAGAGCCACCACACACAGACGGATCCTGGACATGGGCTTCGAATGTCGTATTCCTCTTGTCAAGCCATTCCTGAACAACAAACAATGTCAGAAGCATCTTACCTGGGCTAAAGAAAAAAAGAACTGGTCTGTTGCTCAGTGGTCCAAAGTCCTCTTTTCTGATGAGAGCAACTTTTGCATCTCATTTGGAAACCAAGGACCCAGAATCTGGAGGAAAAATGGAGAGGCACACACTGCAAGATGCTTGAAGTCCAGTGTGAAGTTTTCATAGTCTGTTGATTTGGGGAGCCATGTCATCTGCTGGTGTTGGTCCACTGTGCTTCATTAAGTCCAGGGTCAATGCAACCATCTACCAGGAGATTTTGAAGCACTTCATGCTTCCTTCTGCAGACGAGCTTTATGGGGATGCTGACTTCATTTTCCAGCAGGACTTTGCACCTGCCCACACTGCTAAAAGTACCAAAACCTGGTTCAATGACCATGGGATTACTCTGCTTGATTGGCCAGCAAACTCGCCTGACCTGAACCCCATAGAGAATCTATGGGGCATTGCCAAGAGAAAGATGAGAGACATGAGACCGAACAATGCAGAAGAGCTGAAGGCTGCTATTGAAGCATCCTGGTCTTCCATAACACCTCAGCAGTGCCACAGGTTGATAGCATCCATGCCACACCACATTGAGGCAGTAATTGATGCAAAAGGGGCCCAAACCAAGTACTGAGTACATATGCATGCTTATACTTTTCAGAGGTCCAATATTGTTCTACGTACAATCCTTGTTTTATTGATTTCCTGTAATATTCTAATTTTCTGAGATTGTGAATTTGGGGTTTTCATGAGCTGTAAGCCATAATCATCAAAATTATGACAAATCAAGGCTTGAACTATCTCGCTTTGCATGTAATGAGTCTATCTTATATATTAATTTCACCTTTTAAGTTGCATTACTGAAATAAATGAACTTTTGCACGATATTCTAATTTTTCGAGTTTCACCTGTACTTTCTATCAATTCAGTCATACCCAGATTACATCTTGATTGATACACACACACACAAAATTAAAATAGAATACAGGTAGTCCTCGATTTACAATAGTTCATTTAGTGACAGTTCAAAGTTACAAAGGCACTGAAAAATGTGACTTGTGATTCTCACACTTACGACCATTGCAGTATCCCCAGATATGTGATCAAAATTCAGACACTTGGCAACTGACTTAAATTAAGCAGTAGGCTCTAAGAATTAAAGCAGTAGGCTCCCTTTGATGCGTTTATCTTTATTTTAGGCATATCTTTATTGAGATGATTAACATGATGGCTCATTCATTCTAGGTGTCATCCATTTCAGGTTTTATAATGGTTATTATATTCTAAAAAGCAAAGACATCACCCTGCCAACAAAAGTGTGTATAGTCAAGGCTATGGTTTTCCCAGTTGCAATGTATGGTTGTGAAAGTTGGACCATAAGGAAGGCTGAGCACCAAAGAATTGAGGCCTTTGAACAATGATGCTGGAGAAGACTCCTGCGAGTCCCTTGGCCTGCAAGGTGATCAAACTGGTCAGTCCTAGAGGAGATCAACCCTGACTGCTCTTTAGAAGACCAGATCCTGAAGGTGAAACTCAAATACTTTGGCCACCTAATGAGAAGGAAGGACTCACTGGAGAAGAGCCAAATGCTGGGAAAGATTGAGGGCAAAAGAAGAAGGGGACGGCAGAGAATGAGGTGGCTGGATGGAGTCACTGAAGCAGTCGGAATGAGCTTAAATGGACTCCAGAGGATGGTAGAGGACAGAAAGGCCTGGAGGAACATTATTCATGGGGTAGCGATTGGTG